TAATTGTCAGAAAAAATCATTTTCAAAATTTATTCAGTTCTTTGGATTTACCCAAGATCCAAATAATTTAAATTATATAATAGTAATGAGTTATGCAAAAAAAGGAAGTTTGAGAAAATGCTTATCTGATATAATTAAATTTAAATGGCAAGACAAGTTACAATTGTTGAAAACAATTATATTAGGACTTAAAGTAATTCATGAATCAAATTTAACTCATGGTGATTTTCATGATGGTAATATTTTAATGTCAGATAATTACAATGAGTTATTTATTATTGATATGGGATTATGTAAGCCTATGAATGATTTGCAAGATACTGATAATAAAATTAATGAAATTTATGGAGTTTTGCCTTATATGGCACCAGAAATATTAAGAATGAAACCTTATACTCCAGCAAGTGATATTTATAGTTTTTCAATGATAATGTGGGAATTTACATCAGGTATTCCTCCATTTAATCATGAGGCACATGATCATCACCTTACCTTGAATATTTGTAAAGGGAAACGTCCTGAAATCATAAAAAATACTCCAAAATGTTATATAGATTTAATGAAAAAATGTTGGGATTCAAATCCCTCCAATAGACCAACTATAGGAATGCTTGAAAATATTATATCTGAATGGATTAGATGTATTAATGAATATTATGAAATAAACAGGGATGGAGATTATAAATTTAAGGTATCTAATGTTGATGATCAATTAAAAGATGATATGATTGAATTTGTAGAAGCAAACAAAACTTTAGTACAAGAACAAGCAAATACTTCTATTATACAATATCATCCACAAGCAAATACTGCTATTATACAATCTCATTCACAAGCATATTATACAAGTCGCAGACTTACTGAAATCTTAGTTCAAGAAAATTCTGAGTGTTTTGAATGTGTAATTAAAATTTAATAATTCTATTATTTATGTTAGAATATTTTATTATGTAGGAAATATATATATTACATACTTACACAATTTCTACAATAAAGTAATTATTATTAATACAAATATAAAAATAAAGTTTATTAATATATTATAATTTATTTAGTAAATTTAAACAAATCCATACTTCAAAATTTATTAAAATTACTATTGCAAATGAATACTTAACATCAATGATAGTCTTTGTCTACAATATAAAATAATTCATCGAAAGGGAATAGAAGTAATAATCCAAGTTATTTTAATGTGTGACAGGTTACGCCGAAATGCCAAATTATCTGCCTGATCGTACTATTTATTAGACAACTGGTTAGTTCATCATCATCAGCCACATCAATTCTTTTTTATCGTTTTTCCCTTCCCCCCTTTTCTTCCCCTTTTCATGTTTTAAAAATATGTTTTAATATTTAAAAGTTTTTTGTTATTTAATAAAGTTAAACGTTTTCCACCAGCAGCAGAGCTTTAGGTGCTAAAATATTTTTATAAATATTTCATAAATAAATCCATAACAAACGGGATTATAAATTTCACAACATAATTTCAGCATTTGGTCATATTAAACAGTTGAAAAATGAAAGATACTTAAAGATAGTTGTTTATGAGGTATGCAGATGCTTGTATATTGATTTGTATTAATTTTCATGAAGTTGTATGGATTTTTTTGTAATACTAAGACGCGTTTTTTAATAAAAATTTCATAAATTTCATGTAAATATAGTATTTAATAAAATGTATGCAATAATATTAATTCTTTTATATGACAATATTTGAAAGTATGCAATATATATATTTTTTATTCTTTAACATTTTTAAAAAGCGCAAAAATTTTTTTTAAGATAAACATTACATGAAAAAATAAGCAAATTGACATTTACAGTTGTAATCTAAAATAATATATTCGGCATAACCTGTCATACATTCCAGACATGCTTTAAAAGAAGTTGAATGATATATTTGGCTAATATCAAAAGTCTAAACATAAACCATTTAAAATCTAAACATTTTGACAAGATTTGACATATACGTTCTAATCATCTACTGTTAAACTTAGAAAAAAAAAATAATAAAATATTTAGTTTTTAGTTTTTAGTTTTTAAATTTTAAGCTGAAATATAAAAATAATATTAAAAGTTATAATTTTATTACAAAGAAATATAAAGAAATATTAAAACTATAGTAAAAATACATAATTCTTATATTAAAATCATATAAGGTTTTAACACTATTTAAACCTTTTGATAATTTCAACTTTTAAAAATAAAATATCCTTCGGAGTCATGTGCCGATGGCTAATCCATGAAAATTTTTGTGGCTAATCCAGATCCGGTTAATGAAATTTTTATCGATTTTTTTTTTTTTTACGAAAAAAAAATTTAGTTTTTTCTTATTAATCTAGGCCATTCCCTTCCTTTTGGAAAGATAAAATTTTTATGGTTTCTTATTTTTTTCGGTTTTTTCAAAACCGATTTTTTTTAATATTATTATTAATTAGTCAGTTTTTTTTCGTTTTTTTTTTCAAACTAACGCTGCACGTTAATATGATCTCGTCATTCAGTCACAGTAATTTGTAATAGATAACTCTACAGATGCAGTATTTGTGGCCCCACCATAAAAGCCAAAAATTATAAATATTAGTATTATTTTGATTGGTTTAGGAAATATGGATGTAGGAACGTAAAGAAGAAATTTTTTTTATGATAATATTTCTTTTATGACATCATTAAATAGCACCTTTTTATTTTACGATCATATAGTATTATAGTATTGGTTAGACTTATGAAGATCAAAACTTTATTATCCGGGTTAGCTATATTTAGGTAAATAATAGGACCCAGAAATATATATATAGGGGTCAGGTGATGAAAAAAATTTTTTACTATGAGCTGTACGCATTTTTTCAGGGCCGGAATTATGATAATGCCAGTCGGTTACTATAATAGGAAATAAAATTCTGACTGGCATTATCAAAAATTATCTAAAAAAGGAAAGATTTTCATGATTTTTTTAGTTCAAAATACGCAAACTCAAACCTGACCCTTTTATATATATTTCTGGGTCCTTAAATAATATTATCATAATTACTAATAATCGATAAGTAAAACGAATAATAATAATAATAATAATAAATTCTTATTTTTTTTCGGTTTGAAAAAAAAATGAAAAAAAAAATTTTAATTTCAGAAAATAATTTCGGCCTATAAGAATCGGGGAAAAAGGCATTTTAAAAAAAGAACCTTTAAGTCTATAAGAACCGAAAACCGAAAAAAAGGTATCTGATATATAAAAAAAATAATAAAATTTCCGGTCTATAAGAACAAAAAAAAAAGGTATAAACTGGGAGATTTATTTTTTATTTTTTTTTTTTTTAATAAAAATGAATATTTGAGCCTTGGTGTGATCTGCTGCGGCCAATTTGAGAGACTAAAACAAAATATGATTAATAAGAAAAATTACTTTTTTTTTTATTTAGCATTATCTCATTAGCAAAAAATTGGATTAGCCGCAAAAATCTCATGGATTTGGCCATCGCCACATGCATAACCATGCAAATTATTTAACGATTAATAAATACGGAATAAATTGATTGGAGGGTAATCTAAACTTTTTTTAGTTATTTAGAAGATGTAAATTAATTTAAGAAATATTTAAACAAACATATTTTAATATACCTTAAATGTTTAGATAACAATAAACTGCAATAAAAAATTACAAATGTTGCGGTATATAAAAATTTCGATCGTATCAATTGATTTTAGCTTCTTCTTATGATAGAAGATAACGCTTAAATATTATTCATCTTCACGAAAAACCTTGAGAAGTTTCACAAAATTGGTCACATCAGAGATGATAAATACTGATATTATGATAAATGTATAAATCAACTAACATTATTATTGTTGGATTCTTATTTCAATAATTTAATTTTTACTTTAATTATAGATTTACTTAATGGTTTTATTTTGACAAAAAAAAAAAAAATGATGCAATACAAAGTCCGAGTTGTAAATCACTTAAAAATTTATTAACGTTAATCTTTACTTGTTAAGGTTAATCACTTTTTGTGGAACTGGATACAATTCTATATCGGCGGATTTGCGTAATCACATGTCAGCCGAGACACGTGATTACGCAAATCCACCATATAAGTATTAAATAGAACATTAAGGCAATTTAAAGAAAGTAGATCAAAGTATACGTTAACTATTAAGGGTTGCTCACTGAGAATCACGTCTCATTATTATTTTTATAGTTTTATCATTTTTGGTTAATTCGTCCATTTTTGTAACAAACGCAAGCAAAAGGTTATACAATTTCAATAGTAGCGTTGTTTAACCGATTAATTAATAGATTATATGATTATATGTTACCTTAATCAATCAAAAATCGGATTAATTGATCGACCCATTAATTGATCAAATGTCAATTTTAAATAAAGTTTGACATCATACTTTTCATAAAAACCCTTTCCTATTCAAGGGATAAGATGAGATGAAATACTAATATATCGCATAAAGAACATTTTTAAAAAGCATACAACGTTATTTAATTTACCAATAAAATTTAAGGATTAACGGATGATCCGTTAAAATTCGTATTAGGATTAATCCGGATAAATCCTAATTTATGCAAAATTAAGATTTTTCCTATCAAGGATCAATCCGTAAATTTTCAGATTCAGATGACGTTTTAAAAATAGGATCGGATCATTAATTTAAATTACTAAGGGATAATCACTGCAAGTATTATTCATTTTTGTTGGATTCGCTCATTTTTTAAAACTAATGCGGGCAAAAACTTATTTATCTTAATTAAAGTAAGTGGATTTGTAATAAATCATAATCAGGTTAGCTAAATCAATAGATAGAAAACATTTGTATATAAATATACGTTACGATACGAGAGATTTTTCTGAAAAATATTTTATTTTGAAAATATGTCTCAAGATTATACTTCTCCCGTCAAAACTACTAAAGCTCTTGATGAATATGTCTTGTTGGGGCGTTCTGGATTGAGAATTTCTCCATTATGTCTTGGCACTGTGGTAAGATAATTTTGCAATCTAACCAAAATTATTATGAATATCTTTGATAACAAAACATTTTATTAATATTAACATAATTATGCTGTATATTGAAGACTTTTGGTGAACAATGGGTAAGTTATATACTCTATATTAAGAAATGAAAAAAATGATATCTGAATTTCATTAACACTTTACAAATAGGGAGTGGGCGCTGATAAAGAAAAATCGAAAAAAGTTTTTGATCTTTATTACGAAAGGGGTGGAAATTTCTTTGGTAATTTTTCATTAATTTACGTAGTCAATAATAAGTCATTTCATAATTTTTCGAATAATTTAATAATAACGTATATTTTTCAGATACCTCCAACATTTACAATTTTGGTGAAGTAAGTATTGATATTATAATTATTATTTTTTTTTTATTTAATTTAATATTAATATTTATTAATAAATGATTAGAGTGAACGTTTCCTTGGAGATTACGTCTCTGATAAACGATCCAATGTCGTAATTGCAACAAAATATACAAGTATGGATCATGAATTATCTTTATAATATCATTCAAATTTGGAATTTTCAATAACCTTCAAGATTTATTTTTACAGCTAATAGAACTGCTATGTTAAAGGATCAGAAATTCAATCCGAATTTCGGTGAGCTAGTAAATTATAATAGTACAGTTAAAACATTTTATGTTAATTGATAATTAAACATATAGGGGGAAATCATCGAAAAAGTCTTGTGGAAAATTTAGATGAAAGTTTGAAACGATTAAATATGAACTATGTTGATATTTTATATGCTCATATGTTTGAATATCGAACTCCAATCGAAGAAATGATGAGATCATTAGATGACGTTATTCGAAGTGGAAAAGTAAGCAAACTTATTTTTCTTATAATATTTACTCGAACAATTTTTTTTCTAAATATTATTAAAAAAAAATAGGCATTATATGTTGCCGTGAGCGATATTCCATCTTGGGCACTCGCTCGAGCTAATACTATTGCTGAATTACGTGGATGGAGGTATGAAATTATAATAATTACTTTAACCTAATAAAAACTAAAGTTATTAAGTTAACTCATATTTATAAACTACTTTAGCCCTTTCATTGGACTTCAAACACGTTATAGTTTATTGAATCGATCGTTTGAATTTGACTTACAACCTGCTTGTGCTGAACTTGATGTAATGTATTATAAACTTATATTTTACATTTATACTACTAGTACTTGAATTAAATAATGATATTAAATCAAATTATTTAGGTTGGAGTTATTCCATGGGGTACTATTGCTGAAGGGTAATTATTAATTATTAATTATATGATGTATTCATTGTTAAAATATTAACGTTATATTAATTATTTCTTTTAATAGTTTTCTTACCGGAAAATATACAAGAGAATCGACAGTTGATCCAAAACTAAACATTCGTAATAAAGCAATCGGAGCTTATTCAAAATCTGAAAAAAATTGGAAAATTTTAGATGAAGTTATTGCAATTTCAGAAGAAATTGATAGATCTCCAGTTCAGGTAATTATTTATATTCAATCCTCTAAATATTTAAATATAATTTATTAATAAAAATATTTTTCTTAAATAAGTAGGTTGCTTTGAATTGGGTTCAACAAAAACCTGGTATTACAAAAAAAATTTTCTTTTTAAAAAAAAAAAAAAAATGTTTCTAATATAAATTTAATTTTTTTCAGATTGACACCTGAACAAATGAAAAGACTTGATGATGTTTCTAAACCAAACGAAGTTCCATTTCCTCATAAATTTGCTAACCAATATGATAGATATATTGGAAAAAATATTCAAGTACCAAATAAATTTGCGCCTATTGTGAAAGCATATAACTATGGAAGTTTATATTAATCAATGAAACAAGATTATTAATATAATTTATATATTTGTATATTAAACAGTTTAATATATTGCTACGACCTCTTTATTTTTTTCTCGATTTGTCAAATTTAATATGAAACAAAATAGTATTTTTGACCGTTTTATTCAATATATTTTTATTTTTTTTTTGTCAATAGAAAATGATTTTTTTTTTATTTTATATATGAATTTATATAATAAAAGATTGTAAGTACTCGATGATCTATATAGTTATATTTTAAAGAATAAATATTTATACTTGATTTCGCTTAACAAATACATAATATTTTAATAAGTTAAGATAAATTTTATTAATACATGCTTAAATTGCTTAATTACTAATTCATGTATTAATAAAAACAAATAAGTGATAAGCGGTTCTTCTAGATATATAATATTTATGAGGTTCTTATTTAATACGAAATTATAGAGGAAAATAGAAAGTCGTTAAATTGTCATACCGGACCACTTGAATTTAGTGGTTCGATCCGGATATGTAAATTTCGTTAAAAATGGCTTATGACAATAACAACCGACTTTAATTTTGTAGAAATCGGGATTAAACCCGTTTATTAAGAAATTTCAGCACTACGATCATATTCGTAGTACAACTTCCTTTTTTTTGTTTCTTATTTGTCTATAATCGTATTAATTGATTTTCACTACTATGAGAATCAGCCGCTAGAATAAAATCAGAATCTCATAATTAACGGAATATATGATTGGTAATATTTTGTTGATATATATTCCGCAATTCCGCATGATTATAATAATTATAATTTTTTTAGCAACGTGATTTATGAAGAGTAGCAAAATTCCAAAAAGTTGAAATAAATATTTTTATTAATATGTAAAGATTTTTAAAATATTTCGTAAACAATTAATGTTTTCATTTTAAAAATTAATATTTTTATTAATATTTGATAACACTTCGTAAAATAAAACGAATTATTACTAATGTTATTAATTTAAAAAAAAATTTAGTTTTTCGCTTTATATTAAGATGAAAATGTAATTTTTACATACTTAAGATAATTATTTATTCTAATATAATGATTAAAAAATTAAAAAATTATTTTTTAAAACTTGTTGTATTCATGAGAATATTTAATTGTCGGATATGAGTATTGGAATTTTGGAATTTTTGGGATTCGATTTGTGAAAATTGTGTGCTATTATGCACTATTAGTTAATTAACTTTAGTGAAAAGACTCATTATTATTATTATAATTAAATTTAAGCTATTTAAATTTCACTTTGCAAAAAATAAGTGCAATTAAAATAATAAATGAATTTTGGAAAATACCTAACGGGTAAAGTCATATCATTTTTGTGGAACAATATTATTTATTTCATCAGTCAACATAAAAGATAATCAGGTTGTGATGGGCCTTTTAAACCTACATGAATTTATTATGATGATTAATAACAATTTTTAATGCTAGAATTATTTTTTATATAGGACTTTTTTATCAATTAGATATTATTCATCTCATAACCAACTAATTTCAAATTTTAATAGAAAAATTCTCATAAATTATAAATATAAACATATTTTATCAGTTATAGGTAAATTTTTTCTAATAATAATTTTTATTTTCCAATGGTTCAAGTCAGAATGAGTATTTTACTCCGAGTTATATGTGCAAGTAGTACAAGTTACTAAACGGGCTATAGGTATATCAGTATTATCAGTTTTATATGATCAGCACTATTTGTAGCAGAGTCACGTTTGTATTACCCATATGGCGCAATTATTCTAATGTTTGTGTATTACATATATATTGGATAACTGATAATGCAGGTTGAATAAAAATTTTTGAGAAAATAAAAAAATATTTATACATCAAAATGCAGAACTTATTAACAAATAACACAAACAAGTGTGTAAAATGCGGCAATATGTACATAAATATTAAATATAAATGGTGTGAAACATGTCAAATTACAAGCTGGACTAGTGGAAATAAAGATATTGATAATCTAATTCAAGAAATACAATTAAAAATTAATTGTTACATAGATATAATGTTTGAATGGATCTCATGCAATCAATTTGATAGAATTAAAGAAATAAGCAATGCGGTATATTCAACAATATGGAAATTTAGTCCATTAAATTGGAATATAAAGGAACTTATAAAAAAATCAAATAGGATAGTTGCTTTAAAAGTGTATTTATATAATGAAGTTTTAAAAGGTCTAAATAAGGTACGAAATTTTATAATTAAATAATTTTTTTTTTTTACTATACAGTAATTATAATAATAATTTTGTGCTTTTATACAGTTCAGACAATACCAAATAGAGGATTATTACAATGATTTTGAGTTTTTTATATTAAAAAATTTTGAAATCTTTTATGGAAAATGCATAAAATGTGGAAAGTATTATACAAATTCAGAGTATAACTGGTGTAAACCATGTCAAATAAATTGGTTAAAAGAAAATTTCATGAACTGGACCAGTGAAAATGAACAAATTGACAATTTAATTCAAGAGATACAATTAAGTATTAATGATTATGAAGATGCAATATCTGAATGGATACCATATTACCAGTTCAATGATATCGAAAGATTAGATAATATAGTATATTCAGCGAAATGGGAGAATGGTCCATTATCATATAACTATTATAATGAAGAATATGCAAGAAATTCAGCAAATAAATCCGTTATTTTAAAATATTTGGTTAATTCACAAAATATTACGAATGAATTTCTGAAAAAGGTATACAAAATTACAAATTTCTATATATTTTGATTCAAGTATTTCTACTATTATTAATATTTTTTTTCAATAGATTATGGCAACTTATGGTGAATTTAAAATATATGGCATATCTCAAAATCCTAAAACAAAAGATTATATTATAGTATTCAATAAAGATCAATATTTAGAAGATTGCTGTGTAAATTGTGGAAAGTATTACACAAATGCATGGAACAAACGATATAAATGTTGTAAACATTGTCAAATAAGTTGGTTAAAAGAAAATTTCACAAATTGGACCAGTGAAAATGAAAAAATTGATAATCTAATTCGAAAAATGCAATTAAAAATTAGTAATTATAGAGATATTATATTTGAATGGATACCGTACTGTCAGTTTAATGATATTGAAGAATTAAGCAGTATAGCATATTTAGCGAGATGGAGGGATGGCCCATTATCATATAGTAACTATTTTTATAAAAATGAATATGCAAGAAATTCAGCAAATAAGCCAATTATTTTAAAATATTTAGTTAATTCGAAAAATATTACTAATGAATTGTTGAATGAGGTATGTAAGTTTTTCTAATAAATTTAATTCTACTACTTTCTGTATTGTTAATAATTTTTCAATAGATTATAGCATATTATGATAAAGTTAAAATATATGGTATATCACAAAGTCCTAATACTAAAGATTACATTATGATATTTAATAAAGATCAATATTTGGAAAATTGCTGTATAAAATGTGGAAAGTATTACACAACATCAGAGTATAAATGGTGTAAACCATGTAAAATTAATTGGTTAAAAGAAAATTTCACAAACTGGACCAGCAAGAATGAACAAATTGATAGTTTAATTCAAAAAATGCAGTTACTAAATATTAATAATCATAAAGATATAATATTTGAATGGATATCATACAATCAATTTAATGATATTAAAGTATTAAGCAATACAACATATTTAGCAATATGGAAAGATGGTTTATTATCATATAACAACTATTATAAGAATGAATATACAAGAAATTTAACAAATATTGCAGTTGTATTAAAATATTTAGTAAATTCACAAAATATCACTAATGAGTTTCTAAATGAGGTATGTAAATTTTCTATGAATTTAATTTCAAGTACATTACGGTACAACATAATATATTGATACATTTTTAATAGATTATGGCTTATTATGATAAAGCTAAAATATATGGTATGTCACAAAATCCTAAAACAAAAGATTACATTATGATATTTAATAAAGATCAATATTTGAAAAATTACTGTATAAAATGCGAAAAATATTTCACAAAATCAGAGTATAAATGGTGCAAACCATGTCAAATAAACTGGCTAAAAGAAAATTTCACGAACTGGACTAGTGGAGATGAAAAAATTGACAACCTAATTCAAAAGAAACAATTAGAAATAAATGATTATAAAGATATTACATTTAAATGGATACCATATAATCAGTTTAATAATATTATTGAATTAACCAATAAAATATATTCAGCAAAATGGAAAGATAGTTTATTATATTGGAATGAAAAAAAGCATAAAGATTTAAATAAAGCAGTTATTTTAAAATATTTAATCAATCCACTAGATATTGCTAGTGAATTTTTGAAGGTAGTATATATTAGTTTTTTGTAAATTTATTTTCAAATATTTTTTGTAATATTAATATAATATTATTATTTAATAGATAATAACATATTATAATGAAATTGAAACATATGGTATATCTCAGCATCCTAATACAAAAGATTACATTATAATATTTAATGAAGATCAATATTTAAAATATTGCTGTATAAAGTGCGACAAGTATTACACAAAATCAGAGTATAAATTGTGCAAACCATGTCAAATAAATTGGTTAAGAGAAAATTTTACAAACTGGACTAGTAAAAATAAACAAATTGACAAATTAATCCAAAAAATGCAATCAAATGTTAATGATTATAAAGATGTAATATTTGAATGGATACCATATAACCAATTTAGTGATATTAAAGAAGTAGGTAATAATAAAGTGTATTCAGCAAAATGGAAAGATGGTCCATTATCATATGTCTATTATGCAAATAAATATACAAGAAATTTAGCAAATCAAGAAGTTATTTTAAAATATTTAGTTGATTCACAAAATGTTACAAATGAATTTTTAAATGTGGTATGTAAATTTTTTTATGAAGTTAATTTCAACTAATTATAGTATATTGATACTTATTATTTTAATAGATTATAGCATATTATGATAAAGTTAAAATATATGGTATATCTCAAAGTCCTAATACAAAAGATTATATTATAATAATTAATAAAAATCAGTATTTAGGAAATTGCTGTATAAAATGTGGAAAATATTACACAAAGTCATGGTATAAATGGTGTAAAGCATGTCAAATAAATTGTTTTGAAAAATATTTCACAAGCTGGACCAGTGAAAATAAACAGATTGATAAACTAATTCAAAAAATGCAATTAAAAGTTAATGATTATAAAGATATAATATTTGAATGGATATCTTACTATCAGTTTAGTAATATTGAAGAATTAGACAATATGGTGTATTCAGCAAAATGGAAGGATGGTCCATTATTATATAATTACTATAAAGAAAAATACACAAGGAATTCAGCAAATCAGGCAGTTATTTTAAAATACTTAATTAATTCAGAAAATATTACAAATGAATTTTTAAATGAGGTATGCAAGTTTTCTAGAAATCTATTTCAAATGTTTTCTAAAGTATTGATTTTTTTTTCAATAGATTATAACATATTATGATAAAGTTAAAATATATGGTATATCTCAAAATCCTAATACAATGAATTACATTATAATATTTAATAAAGATCAATATTTGGAAAATTGCTGTGTAAAATGTGAAGAGTATTATACAAAATCAGAATATAAATGGTGCAAACCATGTCAAGTAGGCTGGCTAGAAGAAAATTTTACAAGCTGGACCAGTGAGAATAAACAAATTGATGACTTAATTCAAGAACTGCAATTAAAAATTAAAAGTCATAGAGATATAATATTTGAATGGATATCATATAGCCAGTTTGATAATATTAAAGAATTAAATAATTTAGTATATTCAGCAAAATGGAATGAAGGTTCATTGTACTGGAATAAAAAGAAATATGTAAGAAATTCAGTAAATAAAGTAGTTATTTTAGAATATTTAAACAATTCACAAAACATTACTGATAAGCTTTTGAATGAGGTATGTAATTCTTCTATAAATTCGATTTAAAAATACTTCTTATATACATTATAAATAATTTTTTAACAGATTGTAGAATATTATGACAAGTTCAAAATATATGGAATAACTCAAAATCCTATTACACAAGATTACATTATAGTCCTTGATGAAAATCAATACCTTAAGATTTTTTGTGATAAATGTGCTAATAGATATGTAAATATGGAGTATAAATGGTGTAAACTATGTCAAATAAAGTGGCTAAAAAAGAATTTCATAAATTGGACCAGCGAAAATGAACAAATTGATAATTTAATTCAAGAAATGCAATTAAAAATTAATAATTATAAGAATACAATATTTGAGTGGATACCGTATTATCAGTTTATTGAAATTGAAGAAGCAAGTAACAATACAGTATATTTAGCAAGTTGGAAGGATGGACCATTGTCATATTATTATTACAATAATACATATACAAGAAATTCATTGAATAAAATAGTTACTTTAAAATGTTTAGTTAATTCGCAACATATTACTAGTAAACTTTTAAAGGAGGTATATAAGTTTTTATATATTTTATTTCAAGTATTTCTATATTATTAATACTTTTTGTTAATGTATAGATTATGGAATATTATGACAAACTTCTTACAATATATGGAATAACTCAAAATCCTAATACAAAAGATTACATCCTAATTCTTAATCAAGATCAATATTCTAGAATTTTTTGTGATAAATGCGCTAGAAAATACATAAGTGCAAAGTATAGATGGTGTAAACTATGCCAAATAAATTATTTAAAAGAAAATTTCGCAAACTGGACCAGTGAAAATGAGCAGATTGATAATTTAATACGAGAAATGCAATTAAAAATTAATGATTATAAAGACATAATATTTGAATGGATACCATATTATCAGTTTAGTGATATTGAAAAAATAGGCAATAATACAGCATATTCAGCAAGATGGAAGGATGGTCCATTACGTTGGAATGAGAAGAAATATGTAAGAAATACAGCAGATAAAACTGTTGCTTTAAAATACTTATTTAATTCAGAAAATATTACAAACGAATTTTTGAATGAGGTACGTAAGTTTTCTAGAAATTTATTTCAAACATTTTCTAAAGTATTAATATTCTTCTTAATAGATTACATCATGCTATGACGAATTTGAAATATATGGAATAACTCATAATCGCAATACAAAAGACTACATCATAGTTTTTAGTTATGATCAATATTTTAGATATTTTTGTGATAAATGTTCTATTAAATACATAGATGCAAAGTATAAATGGTGTAAATCATGTCAAATAAATCATTTAAAAGAAAATTTTACAAACTGGACCAGTGATAATGAACAAATTGATAAATTAATTCAAGAAATGCAATTAAAAATTAATGATTATAAAGACATAATATTTGAATGGATACCTTATGATCAGTTCAATGAGATTAAAGAAATAGGTAAAGGTGGGTTTGCTAAGGTATATTCAGCAAGATGGAAGGACGGTCCATTATGTTGGAATGAAAAGGAATATATAAGAGATTTTAATAAAACAGTGGCTTTAAAATGTTTAAATAATTCACAAAACTTCTCTAATAAATTTTTTAACGAGGTAAAAGAATTTTTAACTTTTGTACTTAAATATAATTCTTTTGAATATAATTGATTCTTTATCTTTAGGTTAAAGCATATTCAATTAATGACCTCAATAATATTAATAATTCTGGCGAAATTCTAAAAATTTATGGAATATCTCAGAACCCTAATACAAAAACCTATGTTATGGTTCTACAATATGCAAGAGGAGGAAATTTTAACAATTGGATGAAGAAAAATTATAAGCATTTTGAATGGATAAATAAATTAAAAGTATTAAAGAATATTATTAATGGTCTTAAAGAGATACATCAAAAGCATATGGTTCATCGTGATTTTCATACAGGAAATATATTATTTAAGGATACTTATTATTGGATTACTTCAAATTACATTTCTGACATGGGATTATGTGGAGAAGTTGATAATGTAGATGAAACAAAAATTTATGGAGTTATGCCTTATGTAGCTCCTGAAGTATTAAGAGGAGGTCCTTATACTAAAGCAGCAGATATATTTAGTTTTGGAATGATTATGTATTTTGTAGCAACTGAAAGACAACCTTTTGCAAATTGTGCACATGATGAGTTTTTAGCATTAGACATATGTAATGGCACTAGACCTGAAATAAATAAGCCAGAAGCACCTAAGTGTTATGTTGACTTAATGAAAAAGTGTTGGGATTTAAATCCAATTAATAGACCCAATGTTGCTGAGGTGGAAAAAATGATTAGTCTATTTTATTCAAATTACGAAGATCAATTTAAAGAAGCAGAAGAATATAGATTAAACAATGATGGAATATATAAAAATAATCAACCAGATACTCATCTCCAGGCTATTTATACATCTCGAATACTTAATTCTTTTACAAAAGAACTTCCAAAATATAGTGAATGTTTAGAGTGTGCAATCGGAATAAACCTTTATAATCAATCAGAATAAGATTTTCATCAACATTTTTATTTATAATTTTATTGATATAGTATGTTAAAAACGAAGTTTATTATATTTATTCATCATTTTTAATGAATAATTTTTAAAATTTTGATATTATATTTTTGTTCAACACTGATTATAGAGTAGCATGTAAATTTTTTTTACTTGAATAAAGTCAGTTTGTAATTGAACAAATTACTTTGAGTGGCTTGCTTTAAATATATATAAATTACAAAGCATAATTACAATTAAATTTCTATAATAAAAGGCTAAAGAAATTATCAAAATAAACAACATGATATGATATGAATGCTCACTCGTTTAGCATAACCCTCATTATTAAAAAAATTGTTGCTAACAGTTTGCCATTATTACAAAATTACGTGGAAGGGAAAGCATAATATACTTTTTTTCTTTCGTAAATTTCGTAAATGCAAAAATTGTTATTTCCTGGAATGTTGCTGTATCATATTTCAACACTAGTACAACCCCACGTTCCATTATATGGACGATTCGTAATTGTAACAATTTTTTGTATCAATTCTTTTTCTTTTTGACTTTGATTTTAATATTTTTTTCATTGTTTTTAATTTTTTTGTATCGGTAACCCATTTTCTTCAAGACCGATATCCTCCTTCTGTCCTTTATTTTTTTTCTTTTTTTATCTTTGTTCGTAATTCCTTGACTTTTTCCTAACGCGATCACCTTATTGCATCTGTTAATCAATATTAGTTCTTTTATGTTGAGATAAGTTCGTTCCCATATCTAATAGTAATTTCTTTTCTTCTTTAATGTTAACTATTTTATTTAGGTTGTTATTGAATAAAACACGTGTTAGTTCTCTAATCTTTGTAATATTAGATGATAAATTAAATATTTTGACTGCTCCGTCAAAGATACATATATATCTTTTACAATGTTCTCACTATTTTATACATTTCTGCGTCCTTGACCTAGTATTCTTCTTCTATCTCCATTAGAGTTTTCAATAAGACTACTTCTTCATTACAGTCATTATCGTCACAATCGTCACATGTCCAAATATGATTCCAATATTCAACGACTTCAACGTGATACTCATTTCTCACATGATCCTCAAAAATAATCGCCACATTACCTCTTTCAAATAATAACTCATACGTTAGAAACTGTAACAAAATTTATAAATTTATAACCTTGGCTTTCCAAACATGCCTTTCTTTAAAAACTTATATGTTCTTAACCAATCAGTTTCTTGTAGCTCATTACGATGGAAAATCTCTTCTAATAAAGAACTCATTAAAATTTCGCTCTCATATTTACTGTGTAGAAACTTTTCATTCGATTTCTATAGTTTCCAAAGATAATATTCTTTTTCCATCTCAGCGTAAAATTTTCCAATTCAATATTAAAGACACTTAATATTAATCTATCTGTCGTTATCGTCGATGTCGTCCTCTCTTTAGCATTACTTATCTGATTATCTTCCCCTTCACATGGTTTATTACGTTATAAATACTTCCGTACGAACTCTATTCCATTATTAACTATGAACTCTTGTATAAAATTTAATTCTATATAATGATTATAATTCAATTTTTTTCAGTCACTTTTTCTTTAATAAAATTTCTAATAAGGTAATGGCTAAACTCTCCATTTTAATAATTATATTTTTATCCCTTATTTTCGTTATATTCCCCTTGTTTTAATAGTAAAAAACTATTATAATCCCATGCAAAATCGTCTTTACTCTATCAATTTCTTTCATTCTTATTTCCCATTCTACCTTTTTAAACTCTAATGATCCCTCTTCCAATTTATACCCAGTTTATCTGTGTCGTATACTTTTCTGTTCTTATTTATATAAAGTATCAATTTCATTTATATTATTATCCGGAGCGAATCGAAGGACTATATATGTCTACGCATTTGAAACAATGATCGATCACGTAAGTTTCCTGTCTCTCACATGACGTAGTGACGTCATCCAATAAAATCGCAAATTGGAGTTCTGTCACCACCTTCATTCGTCACTACTTTGGTTATATATTCGAACCATTTCGGTTTTTTTTCTTTAGTATTAAATTATTTTCTTTACAGAAGTGTTTCCATTTTAACATCCGTTCTCACATTTTTTCTATACATTTCTATACATTGTAAACATACTTCTTCTTAATACTATTGATCCATCTATCTTAAAATTTTCGCGGTATGATATCATCTACACTAATCTTTTTCCTTTTATCAAATGATCTTCATTTCTTACTTACAATTTCATGGTCGTGATATCATTGTTGCGTTAATACAGTAATATCAGTGCATCCGCTATATAAGAATTTCTAACAAATTTCAGACGTTCAATATAGTCACCTATATCCATTACTCCATATTAGTACTAACTGTAATTTCTTTAATTGGATATAAAAAATTTCGCATAATTCATTATTATTATTGACGTAATATAATAAATTCTTACTCAACATTTCAAGTTGCAAATCATAGATATTTTTTGAGCCAATTAAATCTTTGTCATATAAGAAAAAATTTGGTAATGTTGATGCTAAGTTTCCTTTATTCTTGCACAGCTATTGATAGGCGTTCACATTCTGACTATAAAATATCATTGATTACTTCATTATGAAAATTCCGTGTTAAATATAACATTGTGTAATAATACATAATAAATAATATTATATACTTATTGTATAGTATTTAGGCAATAACGTGCTGTTTTCGATTGAGGCCATTTGATTGGCTCAGATTGTGCCACGAAGTGGTACAATATGACCGATCAAATGGTTGAGATCGAAAACAGCAAAGTATTGCCTAAAGACCTATACAATAAGTGTTTTATTATATAGACTCTCACGATCACACTATTAAATCAGTCACGAGTTAATTTATAGTCTATTTGTATAAAAATCTAATTTTATTAATTTTATTATGTATTTGTAATGATTTAAACAGTATTCATTTATTATATATATCATCAATAAAGCTATTCAATAAATGTAAAAAAAATACAGTGTGATCCTATAAGGATATATAATAAAATTATTTCTTATTTGATCTTTTATAACTGAAACAACAGCTTTTGTAGTTAAAATTATTTTATCTATCATCAAAATAACGGTTACATCTTATAAATAATACGGGTGATAATTATAACCAAATTTATTTCTGCAAAGCTTCTGTAAATAAATCTATTTTCGTTGACTCAAAATATTTATAAATTACGCAAATCCGTCCGTAGTAGTTAGACTTCTCAGTAACAGCAAAATTGAAGATGATTGGCATTGGAATTCTATATTAGGTAGTACGGGTGTTCGGTTATAGACATGATCACCATAACATAATATAAATAAAGGACGTTCGTATCCCAAACTTTAATTTTACCTGCATTTTTTTTTGCATTTCTTGCTTTATTATTTAAAAAATTTAAAAACAATGTCTTCAAAATTTTGGGCAGAATTATCTAGCGATTATGAAAAACTTTTTGAAACAGAAATTGGATATGACGTTATTATTTATGCTGGTGAAGAGCAATATGTTAAAGAAATTCATGCTCATTCTAATATTTTATCTATTAGGTCTCAATATTTTCGCTCTGCATTTTCTAATGAATGGGCTGAAAAGAAAGATGGAAAATTTATTTTCAAAAAACCAAATATTTCTCCACAATTATTTAATATTATTCTTAGGTATTTATTTTTAATAATCATATTTTTTTTTAAAGAAAAAGTTTAATTAATTAATCATTATATTAATAGGTTTTTTTATTGTGGAAATATTGAATTAAAGAATTTACAAGGTTCTGACATATTGAAATTGTTAATAGCAGTTGATGAACTTAATCTTCATCCTTTAGTATCTCATATTCAAGAATTTTTGATTAAACATCAAACTGAATTTTTATATCAAAATCCAACTGAAATTCTTGAAACTGTTTATCAATATGAAACATTTACAGATTTATGGAATTTCTGTCTTGAAAATATCTGTAAAGAACCTCAAGTTTTATTTAATTCTGATAGATTTATTTATTTAAAAGCTCCTTTATTAGAATCGTTATTAAAAAGGGATGATTTAAATATGGAAGAAATTGAAATTTGGGAGAATTTGTTAAAATGGTGTTTTACTCAACAAAATATAAAGAATGAACCATCAAAATGGAATAAAGAAGATATTACAAAGATCGAGAAGGCATTACAAAGATTTATCCCTTTAATTCGATTTTACGATATTGATCCCATAGATTTCTTTTATAAAGTATATTGTTATAAAGATATCTTACCACAGGAATTAATTCATGATCTTTTAGAATTTCATATTGTTCCTAATATAAAACCTAAATCCAATTTTACACCTTCAAGAAAAACTAATTTTAAATCAACTTTAATTGAACCAAACAATGTTTCTATTTTAGCTTCATGGATTGACAAAAAAAGTTCTTCATGTTATAATAGAAAAAATATTCCTTATAAATTTGAATTATTATATCGCTTAAGTCAGGATGGAAATGATGTTAAAGATTTTCATAAAAATTGTGATAATAAAGGAGCTACTATTTGGGTAGCAAAAATTAAAAATTCATTACAATTAATTGGAGGATACAATCCCCTTGATTGGGATGTAAGTTGGGCATGGAAAACTACAGCAGATAGTTTTTTATTTAATTTTCCAAATGGAAAAAATACTTATGCTGCAAGAGTAAGTTATGTTAATTCTTCACAACTTGCAGTTTTTTGTGGCGATAGTCATGGTCCAACTATGGGTAATTTAACCTGTTATAATAATAATTGGTGTTATAATAATTACGATAGTGGAAATCGCTATTCTAAAATAGGAATCCCAACAAATTTCGAAGTAGAAGATTATGAAGTATTTAAAGTAATTAAAAAATAGTAATAAATTTGTATTTATGAATGAAGGATTTGCTTCATCATTTAGAAAAATAAAATAATTTTTTTTGCTGCTCATAATAACCAATATCTATGCATTTAAGATAAATTCATCTTGTTCATATTGCTAATAAATCATAAACTTATTTTCATAACAACATATTATTATTTTTAACCTATAATGATATTTCTCATGCTAATAATTGCTTAGCTGTGCAATGTCAAATAAAATACTCAAATTAAAGTTTATATAAGCTACAGAATAACTAATCCATAAAATAAAACGGTTTATAATTTATTTCAGTGACTTTTTCATTACTTGTCCCTTTTTATTATTTTATTGCAAATTTTCTACTAGCTAAATTTATTGCTATTGATTTTGATTGAAATTTATATGAATGACATCGCATTAAGATAATTCATCAGATGATTGTTTGCAATAACTTTTAATTCTTAAGCATTAACAAATACATGTATTTCATTTCAAATACTTTAAATACATTTTTACATCATCATCACGATAACTTATAAATAAAAATGTCTATAGCTTTAGTCCTTATTCTGATGGACATAAATATAATACTATATACATTTAGTAAGAAATAAAAGGAAAGGAGGAAAGAAGGTTGGAGATTTTTTTACAAGATAACAGTATGTCATCACATATTAAGAATAATATGTCACGAGAAATTATTTATATCACTGCCATGCTAAAAGTAGGCATTTCGCCATATTGTGTTAGGTCATTGGCGTAAATTCATACGGCTGACGTATCAAAATATGAATATTTAGAAAATTTATAATTTTTCGTGGGTATTATTCCTTTTGGGGAGACAATAATAGAAGTGAACAATAGAAAGTCAAGCCATGCATAACCATGTTATTAATAATCAATTAAGGAGGAGATAATATAATAGGAGGAATAGGAGGACAATAGAAAAAAATATGTTGAAAAAAAAAATAATAATTATATAAAATACATAAAAAATTAAAAAGATATTTTAAAATATTATAAATATAAGAAAAGACGTGGAAACTCACAATTTGGTAATTTTAATATTTTTAGCATGTGAAAAGAACAATTGCCGCTTAAATTCTACCCGCGGATCTTTATTGCCGCAGATCGACTAAATTTATGCCAACCCAATTGCCAACCCTAATTTGAAACGGAATAGCAGTCATTTCTATAATAAATTTATTATTAATCAAATGACATGTGATTACACAAACACGCCTAGTATAAATAACTACTTTTAGCGTAATTTTTTAAAAAAAATTGTAAATCCCCCTTTTGTTTTTCGTTCGCTATAAAATGTACTAAAATATTAGATATACCCGAAAAATGATTTTCGGGATGGCTTTTTAACTTTATATTCATGTATCAAGTTAATAGATTATGTCTCGTTTAACAATTCCATTATTATGGGAATATCCATTTTCTTTTAAATATCCTAGGCAAAATTATATACTCTTGATTTTACATATAAACGTCATTATTATGATATTACTACTGTATTTCTGAATTTATTTATTTGTGATATTAGGCATCTTTATCTTAAATATGACATTTATGATACATATAATATATAATTTAAAATTACTATAAATTACCGGAAGTAATTTAATAATATATAATTTATTGCATTACGTTGAGAAATCCACAATTTTTTTTTTATAAGCTATATTACGTGTAATTTTATTTTACTTCCTAGTTTACACGTACAAAATGTTTACACGTAAAAATGATTTCACTGTCATATTTTTCAACTACTTTAGCAAGTCGTATTTCCGACACTTTATCTTCCCTCGGCAATACATTCTTTAAAACAAACTATCCTTTTGTTTCTTACGAGAGTAGTTACTCTTGTAATTTTAGGCACTCATTTTTAAAATTTTTAAGCTCCAATTCCAATTCAATTTCATAAATTAATTTCCAATTTATAAATCGTTATCAAAATCTTGAAGAGAATTTAAGTATTATAATTAAATCACAACAAAATCTCAAAATCATTTCTTTTAATTTTGATAGCCTTCCTTTATATAATTCACTAAAAAATCCTAATTATTATGGTAAGTTAATATGCAATTTTTTACGATGAAAAAAAACAAAACTTGTTCGTTTGTGGGCTCTCATTTGATAATTTAATGTACATGTTCAATTGTTTTATTAAGTTTTCATCTTCCAAATCAATCGTTACAAAACAAAAAAGGAGATATCCTTAAAAAGTAAACAAAAAGATGGAACATAGTTTTACCGTTCATTTCTGAAAATTAATAATTAATGAAATAACGGATAAAAGAAAAAATTATAGAAGATGAATACAAATTGGAAATAATAATTTAATGTTAATGTCTTACAAATAAAATCTCATATTTACAACCAATTTACAAGATTACTAGTTTAGTTAAACAGGGCGGACATGCTTATTATCACTGTGCCGATCATTTGCCGATCATATATATATTGATTATCACGTTTATTTTGAAACTCTAAGCAAAATCATATTTGCTAGAAAAATTGTACTAATTATTTTATTTGGTAGTTTAGGATACCCAAAATATACTATAAAATTATTGTAGCAAAAAAAAAATAAAGTTAGCTTTGAGCCGAAATTTTAATAATTATAGTATTAGCCAATCATATGCCGATCATCTGCTAATTTGACTTTGAAGCTTCGGGCGAAGCCACAGATGTTTGGGCGAAACTTGAAACTTTTATAGTATATTATTTAAGTATTCAAGAATCTATGGCTAAAATAAACATAGATAATTTTTAATAAACAAAAAGTTATCATTAAATACATGCTTGCAATTATTGTAAGATTAATATAAGGCTAATATTTGGTAAAATCTTCATGAACTATTTTATGAATTAATTTATTAATAGTATATAAATAAAGTAAATAAAATCAAAATTTTATACATTGTTAGTAGAGTTTGTAAAAAAAATAAACTCAACGGTATTTTTTTGTGACAATATTGAACAAATGATCGGCAAAATGATCGGCAATATCGTGATAATATGAGGATGTCCGCCCTGTTGTTTAGTTACTAGTTTTTGAGCTGTATATTTCTTTGCCTCCTCCAAAGTGTTCCAAATGTCCAGAAATGTATAGAAAATTTTTGATAATTATTTTAAATAATTAGTTACAAATTTGACCTTGGGTGGACGGTGAATCATGTTAATATCGCAAAAAAAGAATAAAATTATATATTTTCCTAAATTCATTAAAATTTTATTTTGTGATAAAAACATAATATTAAACGAAAATTTCAAAATTTTATTTATCTGCCAAATCTTCTCGTGATTTTAAAGCTCTAAAGGGAAGGTCATCAAAGTTTCCTGAGTCAGCAACAACAACTCGGAAAAGTGTAGAAGCAATACTCTGATCAATTCCTATATTCGACCACCAATAATCATACAGTATGTAATTGCACATGACATTCAACAGAAACCGATAACGTTATGTTAACATTAAGTTAACGTTAACATTTTGTTCGTCTCATATATTTAGTAGTGCTAAATTTAACGCCACTCTCCATATCAAAGATTTTTTATAAATACATTTTGCCATAGAATTATGTTATATGACAATCACTTCTAAATTAATTATCATTGACCAAAAAATTTAATCATTCTACCGTATTTCTTTTTTTATTTATTTTTTTTTTGTAGGTTCTGGCTTCTCCTGAGAGACTTTTGGATGGTAAGTTAGTTGTTTGAGAGTAGAGTTTTAAAATTGATTAAGAAACGTGCTAAAAGCTAACATTTCTTTTTTTTAAATTTTGCAGAGTTTAGTTTCTCTGGAGAGGACTTTCAGACGATAAATATCATAATAAAAATTGGACTGTATAAAAACATTAAAAAATTTAACATATACCAATATTTAACCATTCTATTATTATTATTATTATAAAATAAAGTACTTAATCATTATATTGTGTAAAATAATGATGGAATGTTTGGGGAAATATCAATTGTAATTTGTACATTGGCAAGATACTGTACATAGTAATTGAACGAAACTATTTTGTTACAGATTTTACAAAAAAAAAAAATTAAAATTATTCATTTAATTTATTTCATTACCTTTAATATTTTCAATTTCTTGTTTATTCATTTTAAATAAAAGTAATGATTTCAGATTCCTTTAAAAGTAGAGAACATTGATATTAAAGGAATTAAATTACCATTTACTTTACTGTACATAATACATCTTTTGTAAAAAAATATCAAGTAGAGTTGAGCAAATTGATGATAGTTTTAATAATTTTTAACTTCGGAAAATGAAAGAAAATGATCTTTTTTAATATTATGAATGGATTCATCAATATCCTAATTCCGCTCATCTAAATTTTTGATGACCGCGATGAAACGAGTCTTTATAATTCCATAAATAAACTGATAAACTAGATGAACTTTTCTTCTTTTAAAAGGTGCTGAGATAATTTAAATTTGAGAATCAATGATTTACAGTCGACTCTGGTTATAACGAACCTGTTTGTACCGAAACCTCGTTATACCGAATCATAATTTCCAGAACCGATTTTTTATAAATAATTTCACTGGATATAACGAACTTTTATAATAAAACACTATATAACGCNTACTTTCTATAACGAACGGTCATGTGACTATATAGTAGTCCAGGCCAATTTTATAGTGCTGGCCAGAATTACTAGTAATTTTTTCGAAAATTTATGTTAAAAAGAAATTATAATTTTGGCCAGCATTACAAATTTGGCCTAAATTGCCTATAAAGAAAACTAGTTCGGTATATTATATAACGAATTCACTATATACCGAACTAAACCTCCTGGAACGGAGGGTTCGTTATATCCAGAGTTGACTGTATATCAGACAAATAAACCAACAATAATCATGAATAAGCCTATTTACAATCAAAAGATTGGGTACATTATCTCCAGATTTTGATATATTGCCATCTGAAGAAAGTTCTGAATTAATTATGTCCAAAAAATCACAACAATCATATTGAACTTCATAATACCATTAATTCTTGGCTTATAGCTCATAAAATTTTGTCTCTTATTATTATGTACAGTACGTTTAAGTAGTGTATTTTCCACATTATTTTCTTAGTAAACTGCGTTTTATTAGTGTTTTATTACTTTTAATGTTTCAACAAAAATCCTCTTATATTTCTTGCTAATGATAAATTTCGTTCCTTTATCACAAGCAGTTATAATACAACTAAATTAAGGTTGTTGTTACTTGCTCGTAGAACGAAAAGAGTAAATAGTACGTAGGGTATTCGTACGATTTTTTTGATTAAGAAATATCTTAATTGAGTTTATATTTCTTATTTTTCTTCACATTTCATTTTAAGTTTGTATGATTAGACGTTAGAAAGTGATAATACGCGTAATAACATTTTTATACCGCCGTTAAGTACAAAAGATACAAACAAAAAATTATTACAACCTTTTCTTTATATTATAAATAGATGCAACTTGCAAAATAGGGTAAATTAAATCATTATTTGTCATGGATAATAAAACTTTAGCAAAAAAAATATTTAAAATTTTTTATATTAACGGAAAAGAGTAAATTATCAAGATCTGCAATGATGTCATTATTTTTCATGTAACACAAAACTATCAAGCATATCTGCATGATACTTTGGATATCTTAGTTTCTGGTAGTGAACTTGGTCTCCAAGAATTAACCACTTATTTACAATCCTTTTTGATTGAAACTAAGGCAAATTGGATGGAATTTAATTTTGATTTGATATATAAGACAAGTTTTGAGAATGATTCTTTCTTGGAACTTTAAGAATTTTGTAATAATTTAATAACCAAAGAGCCAAACAAGATATATAAATCTCTAAATTTTTCCTCAATTTCAGAAAAACTTTTGGTTTCACTTATTCAAAGTGATAATCTTCAAATGAATGAAATTCAAGTATGGAAAAATGTGCTTAGATGGAAACTTGCTCAAAATCCAAAACCTTCCGATCCTACTAATTTTTCAAAAGAAGATTTTAATGCTTTGAAAAATAGTTTATAACATTGCGTTCCACATATTAGATTCTATAATTTAACTTCTGAAGAATTTGCAGATAAAGTATTGCCTTATAAAAAAATTATATTAAAGGAATTATATGAAGATTTATTAAAATATTTCTTGAAACCCAGTATCCAATCAAGTAAAACATCAAAACCTCATATTACTACTGAAGAAATTAATATTGATTCCATTGATTCCAAAATTATTACAATTCGACATGCTGAATTAATCTCAAAATGGATCGATAGAACTGAAATTACAGATGAGATAAAAAATACATACAAATTCAAATTGTTACTTTGTGGATCTCGTGATGGATTTACATATAAAAAATTTCATGAAATTTGTGATAATCAATCTCGTACTGTAACAATTATTAAGGTGAAAGTCAGTAAGGAAATTTTTGGTGGATATAATCCAATTGAATGGAAGTCTGATGATTCTTATGGCACTACTAAGGACAGTTTTATATTCTCGTTTAAGAGATATAATGATATTAAAAGTTATATTTTAAGTCGTATAAAAAATGAAAAAGTCGCTATACTTAACTCCTTTGATCGTGGACCATTATTTGGTATCAGTGACTTGGTTTTAGATGGAGATTTTGGTAAATGTATGTGGTAATTTTGCTTACGAAAAACAAATCAGTGAAACTACTGATTTATTTTCTGATTTATTTTCTGTGGAAGAATATGAAGTATTTCAAATTACAAGATAAATCTCATTTACAATTGTCGATTTTCGTTATTTATTTTAAACATAAGTAAACGATATCACATGGAACTTAGTTTATATAATGTGGACTATTATATACGATTTAAATAATAAGTGATCAACATATTAGTACAGATTAACCATAAATGGGTTGTATTAATATCCTTATTAGGTTAGTACCAATTTATCTTGGCGTTACGAATAGTTTTATGTTCGAGTTACGTACTACCATTTTCAAAACAAGAAAATGTTTCTTAGTATCCGGTTTACTATTTTGGCTAGTTTTAAAACTTTGTATCGTTCTTGATAGAAATTTTTTTACTTGCAGCAATGATTTTGAATACAATATTGTGTTACAGTCGATTTATATTATATTAAATTTAGCGTTGTCGTTCAAACTAAATTGTACAAAAGTGAAAATAAATGTAGGTTATTTAATATAGTTAAATTATTATATGAAATTATTAAGTTACTCCTTCATTAAGATACATTTTACAAATATAAGATATATTAATGATCTAAATATTTGTTTAAAACAAATACTGTACATGATTATTTTCTGTAACGTAACTCGGAAGGTTATTTCCGATTTTGTGTCCCATTATTGTCATCGTCAGTTTACATCATAATTGATTTCGTCTTACATCAAATTTATTTGTCCATTATTATATTTAATCGACAAAGAATTTCTTTGTTATTAAAATTATATAGTTACAATTTCTCATTCTCATCATGTTAGTGATACATGAATAATTTATCTACTTATTTAAATAAAGTTAAGAACGTAAAACAAAAAAAATAAATAAAATAAATTAATTATTCATAAAAACATTCTTTGTTTGGCTTCTTTATAAGTAAAAAAATAGAACATTCTATAATTTGTATTTCATTATATCGTGTTTGCTTATTTTGGCTAGTGATTTAGTTACTACTGAACGTTGTCTTTTGAATTTTTAAATTCTAATCCATTGATATTTATAATCTAACAAAGAGAGTTAATTTAATAATGTAACACTACCGACAAAATTAATTTATTTAATATTTTTAAGTTTTTTGAAAGAAGTTTTAAGTTATTTTTAGTGAAACCCTGATATTTTATATCTTAATTAATAATTTGTACTATTTTTGGCATGTAAGAATATTGCCCATTTTTTATATAAAAATGGCTGGAAATACCTTCCAAGTATCATCATAAAATTTACTTCAAGACAAATTCTAAAGTACATAACACCAATGGCCGAAAAATTAAACAAGAAGGCATCTATCAGAACTACCGGAAAATTGGATAGGAAGGTAGTCAGCAAAACTGCTAGTAAATTGGACAAGAAGGCAGCTAGCAAAACTACTCAAAAGAAGGCAGTTATTACTACCAATAATCTAGACAAAGCTCAAATTAAGAAGGTATATTTTTTAACTTTTTGAATAAATATTTTGTTATTTCAAATTATTAACTTCATAATTAACCATTATGATAGATTTTTGACGTTTTTGACTATAATGGTAACGGTATCTTGTCTCTCGCTGAAATTGATAAAGCCGTTATTGAACTCTATCCTCACCTCGCAAAAGATAAGCCTGCCATCATGCGAGCTTATAAAGCTGCCGATACTTCCAAAGTTTGTCTTCAAATTAGCTTTTATTATTCTTATTTTACTTATTGAATCCTAATACTTATAAAAATTTCTTTAGGATGGTTTCATTGATTTCAAAGAATTTGGTCGTCTCATCGATCTTCTTCATTACTACAATGAGCTATTCAAAATATTTAAAAAACTTGATATAGATAATGACAGGCGTATCGATTTTGGAGAATTCAAAAAAGGTCATAAATTAATTGGAATAAATGTGGTATCAAATAAAGAACTTAAATCCAAGTTTAATGAAATTGATACGAACCTTGGAGGTTACATTCTCTTTGATGAGGTAACATAAAATCATTATTTTTGTATAATAAGAGTTTTTCATAAAAAATTTTTTTAATATAAAATCCTAATTTCGAATGTTTTTACTTTTCAGTTCTGCATTTATGCTGCAAAGATGAAATTGATATCCGATATACCTCAAGATACTCAAGATACTCAAAATAATCAAGAAGAAATACCACAGGACGTTCAGAATAAACAAGAAGTTCAGGAAACTCAAACAAAATTATAAAATTATAAAATAGTTTTATTAGAAATTTTGCATATCAATTATTCATGTCATAAATATCAAACTTTTACATTTTTCAATATCATCTTTTAATTTAAATAAAAAGAAATTCTTAAAAAGTTTTGCTTTAATATTCTTTCAAGTTTAAATAATCAGTAAATTTTATAAATGAAATAATAACCTTACTATATTTTACCTGGAGAAGCCTTGAGTTTAATTCGAATCTCACCTGCTATACTGATTTTCTGTAGTTAGAGACCAAGACGCGTTGAAGATAATCAAAGCTGACAGTTGTTATAGCATTCAGGTTAAGTATATACCCGTTTAATTGCATGTCGCGCACTTATTATGCTGTGATAAACCAAATTTCTCTTTAATTTTAAACAATTTGACCTACTAGTATTAGATTCATTTTTATTTATTTTTTATTTTTACTTTAGAAAGGTAGATACATTTGTGAGATACGAAGATACTTTGAAATTTTACAAAAAAAGTCATATGCACTATTGATCTAAAACTAAATGTACAAAATCCAACCGGCGGACCCACCCTTCGTTAACTAGTATTAGATACAAAAAAATATTGAAGCGGGTTACATTAGATCGGTTACTATACTGTAAACATTAAAAAACGTCACGTGCTGCACCACATCCATCTCCCGAAATAATGAAAATGAACCTTAGAACATTATCGCTATGGCGCTACAGAAAAGGAAGTAAAAAAAAGAAAACTAAAAAGGGGAAAAGGAAAGGGATAACGAGATAACAATCTGTAAAAAAAAGTAAGTAACTCACCTCAAAACTAGCACGTATTAACATATAAGTACTACTTACGGCTAATCACGTGTATTTACGTAATTCCATTAAAATCCCGGCCAGCATTAGCCGGCTAGTACCTATCATAATGACGTAATATTATTAGCACTACGCAGAACTTCAGTTAATAATTATTATGACTATGAAACATATTACTATTATCACCTATTCAAATTCCAATATACTTTTTTATTTTTAAAAATATCTTGATTTGTGCGCTTTGTAAAAACTTCTTTTAATTCATTTTAAATCTCTTTACCTTTTCTTTTTCTCTTATTTGAACGTCTTTTTCAAATCAAGAAACTTTCTTGGGCACTTTAAAGATTTATCTTCAAAGTTTCAATCTTATTATATCATTCGTTTGAATAATTCAGTTTTAACATTTTTATTTGTGACATGTTCATCAATCATCATTTAAATATTAACGTACGAAGATTACGAATAATTTACTCTTACTGTATTTAAGTATACTTTCATAATATTCATATGATTTAAACCCGTAATCCCTAAAATATAATTTCTAACTAAATAAATCGTTTTTGTTAAAGGGAAGAAAATTGTTGAATCATGATTCTTAAGAATTTTTTTATCGACCTTGTTATAGCAACAACGATGGTTCTTGTAATTTATGCATATGGAACGTTTCTTATGAATTTTTTCTTGTAAGATAATAGATGGATGGCGGTGGATTCAACCTCCTTCTTTTACGACATTTAGGGTTTTAACCCTTGTGAATTTTTTCTAAGTGTAGAAAATAAAAAATCTTAATAAAATCCATTCTAATTTTTTTGTGACGCCAACACGCCATGAATATAGGAATATAGCCAAACCTCTTCATACTGCAGGCAACTGTAGCAATTTTTTCGCAAAAATTTTCGGTACATCTGGTTTAACTTTTTTTATCCTGTGTACAGTATGCTGTATGTTTATACGTATTGAAAAATAAAAAATACAAAATTACATTGGAAACAATGTATGACAGATCAAAATAACAATATTAAGTAGCACCATCCCTATAAAAAATTTTTATCCGAATATTTCCATTATTTCTCCGTGTCTTCCGTAAAAATTCCGTGAAAATGATACATTCACGGATATCCGTGTTAGCGAGATGAAAATTTCCATGATTTAAGGCTATAAATTCCATGAAAATGATACATTCACGGAAAAAACATGGAAAGATAAAACAAGGATCAGATTTTTTACAGGGCATTAAATTATTGCTCACAGTTTCATGACATTAAAATTCAGTTTCAATAATTAATATTTCTAGAACCAACAGTGTCATCTCGACATCAAAGTGCAACATTAATCTATAGCCAGAACACAAAATAGTGATGGCAATGCAAATATTACACAAATGATATATTTTTATTAAGGCCTTTCAGGCTTTCGTCACATAAAATCATTATTATTGAAAAATATATGTAATTATATACGAATTGTTTAATAGATCTCATCATTCTTTGACTTCAAATTTCTCATGATAAAACAAATGAACAACAAGGATGATTTAAATTGACAAGAAACAAAAGGAAATTATACAATACGATTACAGCTAGATAGTTATTTAAGCACAATATAATGAATTTTTACACAAAATTTAGACAAAGTTAGATAAAAAAAATACAAATATCAGACATTTCGTTTTTATAGGGATTAACTAAATACTGCATAGTTTCACCAAGTAACTATATATTAACCTATTCATTCACAATAAATATAGTTTATCAATCTTAATTAAAAAGGAAATAGAAATAAGTAATAATCCAAGCTGTTTTAAAAGATGGCATCGATGATACAACTTCAATAAATGAATTTTATAATTATATTTTAAGAATCCATATTCTATGAAATATAATTATAATATTTTTTTAAAGCAATAAATAATACTGGTAAGTTCTTAATCTTAAAGTGTGGATATGAATATTAAGCATAACAAATTTCAATTAAAAAATAAAAATTATAATAAAGATTTTTTTGATAATTATTATATCTGCATTTAAAATATTTATTTTAGTAAAAATTGCAATATAACAACTGACAAATAGCCTAACAAATAAAGAATAAACAACAGAATTATTAAATATTAACTTCACATTCAAGACAACCAGTATTTAAGATTTCAGTAAATTTACGACTTGTATAATATGCTTGTGTATGTGATTGTATAATAGAAGCATTTGCTTGTTCTTGTACTAAAGTTTTGTTTGCTTTTATAAATTCAAACATATCATCTTTTAATTTATTATCTATATTAGATACTACAAATTTATAATTTCCATCCCTGTTTATTCTATAATATTCATTAATACATCTAATCCACTCAGATATAATAACTTCAAGCATTGTTATGGTAGGTCTATTGGAAGGATCTGAATCCCAACATTTTTTCATTAAATCTATATAACATTTTGGAGTATTTTCAACAATTTCAGGGCGTTTCCCTTCACAGACACTCAAAATAAGGTGATGATCATGTGCTACACGATTAAATGGAGGAATACCTGATGTAAATTCCCACATTATCATTGAAAAACTATAAATATCACTTGCTGGTGTATAGGGTTTTTGTCTTAATGTTTCAGGTGCCATATAAGGTAAAACTCCATAAATTTCTTTAATTTTATTGTCAGAATCTTGTAAATCATTTATAGGTTTACATAATCCTAAATCAATAATAAATAACTCATTGTAATTATCTGATATTAAAATATTACCATCATGAAAATCACCATGAGTTAAATTTGATTCATGAATTACTTTGAGCCCTAATACAATTTTTTTCAATAATTGTAACTTTTCTTGCCATTTAAATTTAATTATATCAGATAAACATTTTCTTAAACTTCCTTTTTTTGCATAACTCATTACTATTATATAATTTAAATTATTTGGATATTGGGTACATCCAAAAAATTGAATAAATTTTGAAAATGAATTTTTCTGACAATTATAATGATATTTCCACTGTATAAATAATAAAACAAAATTAATTTTTGTAAAAGAAAAAAAAATTGCTAATAAATATAAATAATATATATACCTCATCCAGAAATTTACTATTTAAACTTGATGAATTATTAAGTGTTTTAAGAATAACCTCATAACCTAATTGTCTATTCCATTGTTGTTTGTCAAAATTCCAACTAAAAATAGGACCATCTAACCAGATAGCTTTATGAATTTCACTAAATCCTCCTTTATCATAATAATTGATATTTGACAATTTATTATAAGGTATCCATTCTAAAATTTCATAACTATTTTTGGCATTTAGTTGTGCTTCTTGAATAAATTTATCAATAAATTCATTTTTACTGGTCCACTTTGAAAAATTATGTTGAAATTGTTTGACATTACATTGTTGACACCACTGGTAATTAGTATATAGCTGTTTGCATATATTGCATAATTCAACTTCATTTTTAAAATCTATTTTGTTACTTTCTGTTGCTTTTTGACGCCAATAAAAGGCTTTTTCTAAATTCTTTTCTGTTCCTACTCCATTTTCATAACAAAAGGCTAAATTATACATTGAATTAGTGAAACCATTTTCTGCTGCTTTTTGATACCAATAAAAGGCTTTTTCTAAATTCTTTTCTGTTCCTTCT